TTTTTTTTTTTTTTTTTTTTTTTTTTTTTATTTTTTTTGCTTTGTTGGTAACTAAAACTTTTTTATTTGTTACCAAATATTGGAATGTTGGAAAAAACTGGTTTTATTTTACAACTTCTACAAAAATAAAATAAAATTGAAGAATAAAAAAAAAAAAAAAAAAAACAAGGACAAACAGTTTTTTGTACTTTTTCTCCCCCACCCCCTCTTCTCTTCTCCTTCTCCAATATCCTTCTCCCGTTCTCCATACTGTTGTTCTTTTTTCATGATTCCTTTCTGTTGTTTTCTTATCCGTTTTTTTCCAGCATTTTTCTTCTTTTCAATATCGTTGCCATTACTGAAGCATGACAAAAAATTTACATGTTGGCTACTACTCAGAAATTAGTTGACGTACAAAAATAACAGACGAATAACATAGATGAAAAAAAAAACTGGCAGTTGATTTCCATGTTTAATAGTAAAAACCTGTAAAAACAAAAAAAAAAAAAAAAAAGTGAATGCTGACATTTCAGAGAAATATGGAGGAGAATTGGAAAAAAGGTTTTAAAAAAGCGGAACAAAAAAATAAATAAATAAGAAAATAAGCAAAAAATTTTTTGAAATAAATGAAAAGCAGAAGTTTTCACATAGATGACACTTTCTTTTCTCCACTCCTTCCCTTCCCCCCTCACATCCCAACTGCTTTTTTTTTTTTTGTCTTTACTACTGCTTCCACAAATTTTCCGCTTTTTTGTTCTTCTTTCCATCAGTTTCTTGCTTTTTCACTAAAAAAATGAACAAATTTTCTTTTATTCCCACTACATTTTCAGCAAAAAAAAAAAGCTTTCTTTTTTCGCTTAATACAAATTTTAGACCAAATTTGTCTTTTTTTTTTTTTCGGTTTTTCAGTCTGCTAAAAATTTTTCACTTTTCTTTTCCTATCTATTCCAATTTTCGTCATCGTTGTTGCTGTTACCGATGCTGTTTAGCCGTTAAGACGATTAGTAGTAGGAAGAAGAAAACAAAAGTAGGAGGAAAAGAGAGTAGCTTCAATTTAAGTAGTC